TTTGAATTTTCAATATATTCATTTGATTTTTGTTGTAATTCATCCAAACGGCCAAGATAATATGTATTCTTATCATCGGCTGTTCGTCTAAGTATCAGACGATCTTTATTTAAATGATATCGAATCGATTGAATAATTTGTTTTTCATATAATGCACGATGTTCCAGCATTGTAGGCAGCGGTCCAAGAAAAGATTCATTAAAAGCAACCTGTATTTCTTCTTCAAAATTCATTTTTCTCGATAAATCTACAAGATATTTTGCAAATAGTTTATTGAGATGTCGTCGGAGGGGTACCATTTCTTTCGTGACAAGTTCTGCTAATGTAACAGAAGATTTTGATAAAATATGTAGTTGACATGGTGGTACATAAGTTGGTCCACGATTAAGAAATTTTATTTGTTCTAATGTTAAATTATGTACCACATGTTGAATCATAGTTGGTGAACAAATTATATTTGATTTGCCTGTAGTAACTACGCTCCGATGGTGAACCAAATCTAATTCTTGGCCATCGGAGCTACGTCGAAATAATGCAATTTTAATTTATAAAGATTAACAAGACGTTCATTGATATTTTGAAATCGTCTGTTCATAATAGCAACCATATTTTGAGTTAATCTTTTGGTATGGGGACCTGAATGTTGTATATCTTGCATATCAGCCATATCTTTATTGAATTTTTCTTTAGTTTCATTCATTTTAGTTTCAGCTACAGCAATATATACTAACATCATTTCAGATTTTGTTTTTTGTAAAATTTTTTCACATTTTTCATATAACTGTTGCCGAATTCTTGGATCATTAATGTTATTTAATGATATTGATGTTGGTATATCAAGTGATTGAAATGATTTTGGTAAATGATTATGTATGGCACGTTGTTTTAATATAGCAACTTCAAATTTAGCTGTTTCTTTTTCACGTCTTGCTACTGTAAGATTTTCAAATACTTGTTGTTGATAGCAATTAGGTTCTTCATGATAAAACTCTAATTGAATTAAACGATTTTTATAATCATATTTAACAACAGCTATTTGTTCTTCGATAATTAATTTATATAAAGAAACACCATAACGTTGAACAAATTTCATAATAGCTTCTTCCATTTCATTTGTGAAAATATTCATGAAACGTTCTTTTATTTGTTTCAATTGAGCTTGATAATCGACGATTTCCTTTTCATATTTTTCTAAAACTTCTTTAACATATTTCAGACAAGCATTATAATCGTCAGCATTTGGATCTGTAGTTGTTTTAATACCATCAGCTTTCATTTTCGTTTTAACTTCATTAGACCATAGTAATACTTTCGAGGTGACATCAAACTCGCTTGATGTTGTCGTTGTAGTTATTGCTCTCGAAGTTCTTGGTAACTCTTCATTTCTCAATTTACCTGTACCCGATAATAAATATGCTGTCCATAAGGATTTATCAAGTTCAACAGATGCAATCTTATGTATAAGATATGCAATGTGTCGCAAATGTTCAATAGTAATAGAAGAATAAGGTACGTTTTGAAGAACATTAGCCATTCTTTCTTCAAAAGTTTTATTAGATGATGAGAGATATCTCGGTAAAATAAAACTGGATTGCTCTTTATCATCACTTGTTTTAAGCTTTTTCGTTGTCTGTACTACGTGTAAAGTAGTTGTTATTGTTGTTGTTGGAGTAGTTGGTGTTAACGCAGGACGCTTTCTAGTTTTTGATTCTTTTGTTTGTTCCTGATGTGTTGTACGCTTTACTTCACTTGAAGCAGAAAGTTGACTAAGTTTTTGAGACAATTCGTCCTCTTCGACTGTAGGATCTAGTAAAATTACATTCGAGCCATGATCAAGTAATTCTTCAATTTGAATTACGCTCTCATTGTCATCATCCTCATTGTATTCATCTTCCTCTTCAATGATTGTTCGCTGAAGATTATCAAAATCAATATTTTTATCTTCATCTTCATCTATATCGTCGCCATATTCATGAAAGACATCATTGAATCGATCGATATCTCGTTCAACCTATATTATAAAATATGTTCTCGTAGAAATTATGCAAAATCTTTAAAGTAATACATACATCTTCGTCTGAATCAGTCATTTCGCCTTTTGCTGAGAAATGAATAGCTCAATCTAAAGAGATATTGAAATCTGAAATAGACAATGGAAAATTCTCTAAAATTGAATAATAAAAGAACAGTTTTCTTAAACGAACTAAATTAAAGCTTGACCTATATCGCTAATGACTTACAAACAGATACAATTCATATAATATTTAGAAAAAAACTTGAAAATTCAGCTACAATATACAAAAAAACGATATCGAATGTATTGAATAAGTTCTTTTTCACAGATTTACAGTTCAAAGATTGGCGATAGCACGAAGTTTTAATTTGTAGACAGATACAAGGTGCTCACTAATATTGTTGAAGCATTTTATCAGAACATCGAACATAACTTTAGTTAATATTCTATCTGATGGATGTGTAGATTCATTTTCTTTTAATTTATTCATTGCATTATTAAACTGGAATCGACATTGATTTGCTCGAATGTCGGCAGCTCCAATATAAACCTGCATCATATCAGCTTTTGTTCGCTGTAAAATTTTATCACACCGATCTTTTAGATATTGAGCTGTTTCCGTATCGATTATTGTATTTATTGGCGTAGGCATCGATATTTGGAGTTTATCAAATGACGTTGGTAGATAATTATGAGTGATACGCTGTTTTAATAGAGCAAGTTCTAGTTTTGATTTCTCCATATCGAATTTCTTTTGTGTAAGATATTCGAATAGTTGTTTCTAAATAGAAGACGATAACTAGCAAAATATAATGTTTTATCACTGTTTTAAAACTTACTTGATATAGATTTGGATTTTCGCTGCAAAATTCAAGTTCATAGAATCGATCAAAGAAATCATATTCAATACGGATGATTTCTCTTTCAATAGGTATTTGATATAGAACAATGTTATACTTTTGAACAAATTTCGTAATGGTTTCTTCAATTCTACTTGTCCAGCGATTGTATAAATGTCGCTTTTTCTCTTGCAATTGATTTTGATAGTCGGATGTTTGGATTCTCAATTTTTCTAGAATCTTCTCTACGTATTTTACACACTCATCGTGATAGATTTCGTTTGGATGCGTGGCTTTCGTTTGATTTTCTGTAATCATTTTTAATTTCAGCTCGTTAGGCCACAATAGTAGCGACGGTTCTTTATTTTGTACTAATGTACCCTGACCAGAACGTAAATATGTCGTATAGAGACGTTTTTCTAATTCAATACGTTCAAGTTGATCGATGAGAAATGCAATAGCTCGTAATTTTTCCGTATAAATAGAAGTACCAGTTTGTTGACGAAGACCGAAAATCATCCGATCGAATTCTTTACTTTCATGCGATAAGTATTTTGGGAACAATTGACTTGAAGTGACGATATTATCTGTTTTTATTCGATTTGTCGCGTTCCATTGAGTAGTACTTTCAGATTCCTGATGTGAAGCAGATAGTTGCCTTAACTTTCCAGATAAATATTGTTGCTCTTCTTGTACACCAACTGTTTCTGGACATTGTTCAATGTCAAATAAATCATCCTCATATTCTTTTACGAATCGCCTACGTCTCTTATCGAATTGTATGCTTGTTTCGTCATCTGCACCTAAATCATCAGGAAATTCTTGAAAAATATCTTCATCCTAAAAATGAAATAAAGTTTATGTACTCTGTAAACTGAACATGGTTCCACTTACATTTCCTTGTGTTAGACTCATTCCTCAATAAAAGCACAGAAAAATCTTTAAAATGATATAAATATCTAGAAATATTGACACAAGAAGAAGTGATTCTATTCTAATAGATTTGAAATTAACAAAAAAGGCATGAGATAAGAAAAGTCTATAATGTTTATTAAAAAGATCAATATCCTCCTTGCCAAATAGTTTATAATTGCATATAATACATACTGAATAGCAGTCCAACAAGTCGATCCATTTGTAATTTTCCTTAGAGATATCGTTCAACAGATAATATTGAATACTTTTCAAAAACGAACTATAAAATTAGTACAAATGAACCATAATATAAATAGTTTTCTTTCGATTCTTAGGCTGACGCATGAAATGTAGTTCGATGTAATTTTGTAGCCATCGAGAAATATTCGAGTTATTAGACTCAAAGAGTATTATTTGAGCCGTGCGCAGTTTAGAAAAAACGAAACTGTATGTTCTATTTTCGACAAAATAATTATGTAGTGACTTCGTGCTTGTACGATAATTTTTGCTTGACACATAAATATGAAGAGTAGAAATGAGATAAAAACACAAGAAGATGTTTGAAACCATTTCAATGCATGTGATTCGTACAAAATTTTATCTAAAATAATGATGGTTAAATGAAGTTTAATTGAATCTATAAACTAATACTAAAATTAATATTGTCATATACTAAGAAAAAATGCAAAAACTAAGCCAAAACTAAAACACTAAGAACTTAAAATTTCAACAAAGAAAAGTAATTGAAAAACGACAAAAAGATATAGCTAATTCTAAACAACTAGTAGTTTGTTTTTAAAAAGAACAATAACAGGAATCATATTGAACGCTGTTGTAAGATAGATTAAACTGATCGACGTATTAAATTTGCACACCAAACATCTTGTCTAACATTCGTAGTCATATTCAAATCAAAAATATGACCTAATGTATTCAATTTAGCTTCAGTATGTGTCACAAATAACGAGTGAATAATTTGACGAAATAGAGTTGATGTATTGGGTGGTAAAACTGCAATAATTGTTGCACTATAAAGAGGTACTTTTTCATAGAGTTGTGTACCATGAAAGTTCTTTCGAAAGAAATGAATTTGCTTTTCAACTTGACGTTTTGAAAATCGATAGCCTTCAGGTGGTTTTGGCAAATCATTAAGATGTTTTTGTATATTTTCATCCTGATAACGATGTGATATTGTTGTGGTTGTTAAACGCATTCTTTCATAGTGAACATTATCAGCATCAGCTTCATCGTTTTTCATTGGAATGAATGGCCAAAAATGTGGATTGGCATCTAGAAAAGCTTGTATCGTAGCTGAACATTGTTTTGGATGTTGATATAAGAGCATATTTTCTTTATTCGATGTAAAGCCATAATCTTTATAGATTGGAAGACGTTTCGTATTCTTATCGCCAAGTAATAATTTACAAATAACAAAATTGGCTATCTGATAATGATTTTCTAAACGTTTTGGTAATGTGTAGAGTGTCTCACTAATATAATCGTATTGACCACATAAACAAGTTAATACATAAATAATATTTCTTGTATTACATGTTACTGGACAATTTAATATCGATTCATAACCATTGACAAAACGATGTGCTTCAGCACGATTAAATAACACTGGTGTTGTTTGATGATAAGTCAAATCAATTGGTGTTTGACATAAATTACATTGTCCACAAGCTGTCATTTTATAATGACATTCAGGTATTTTTTCACAAAATATACCTTCTGTATTTGATCTTGGTTGTACATTGCGAAATGAACAAGTTTTCATATAGAAAAGATCGACATCCATTTGTAAATAAAATTCTAATAATTGTGGTAATTCATGATCATGTAAATAAAAAGTACCTTCCAAACGTTTATTAGCAAGAAGTATTTGAGCACGACGTTTACGAAATAATTCAAGAAAATATTGTAAACGAGCATAATTATGATCTAATATAGACATATCGACATGAAAACGATCGAAGATTGTTAAAAAGTAATTCTTATAATGGTTGTACATCAATGATGATGTTGACGAACTTGGATCTGTCATAGTAAATATGCATTTATATTCACCTGGCTGACGACGTCCTAATTCTGTACGTGATAATTGAATTGGAGACACATTGGCTAATAATAAATTCAATGGATTATCTGCATCATTATTATCTCTATTTGGAAATGTTGGTAAAATTGAGAGACGATGTCGATTATAAAAATGAAGTGTACGCGGTATATAATTCGGTTGATAAAGACCAATCGGTGTTTTGATTGGTGTTACTATATCAATAATTTCGATGTGTGTTGTTGCTGTTGATGCTGTTTGTCGGTGTCGTCTTGCCGATGACTCTCTTGGTGTCAATGATTTTTTGAGTCGTGATAGTTCCATGGTAGTAGCTACCAAACGACTTGTTGTTTCTTCAGTATGTTGTTCCTGTGCTGTTGGTGTGGAATATTGAGTAGTTTCCATTAAATGATCACCATAGTTTCTATTCTGATCATTTTTCTCATTATTATCTTCATCCGAACTGAATAGATCCGACATATGTATGTCAAAATTAGGAAGAACTATATTTTCATCCATTGTTAAAGTGAAATTGTAAAAATGAATATCCTTTATATTGCAAAAGTCGTTTGAGACAAACGTAATATCTAGAATATAAGGAATAAATGAAAATCATTTAGTCAAATACCACGTACCATATAACATTCGTTTATGTGATAACAAAAGAGAAATATAAAAGAAATACATCGTACCTGTCTTCGACGTCGACGAATACAGAATGAAGAAATGCCTTATAATGCGCAGCTATTTATAAAAGCGAAACAAAGAGAGAGAGAGACAGAGTGATCGATTTGTAACATTTATTTTTCTCTTTCTTTCTTGAATATGATTGGACAAAAAAAAACAAAAAAAAAAGAATGTGAAGAGAAGACATTTTTACAACACAAAGAAACAAAGACAGACAATGAACGAACAGTCAAACGAAAAGAAATACAATACTGAAGAAAAAGAATTTTGTTAACATTTAATAAATATCTATGATTTTCTACAGACGAGTAGTTTGAATTCGGTATTCATCGATTTTATTCGTTGCTATACCAGATCTTTCTTCTTTATTCTGTTGAATTTCATAATCCCTAAATCTAATTTCTTCATAATGTCTCGATTCGCTTCGTCCTTGTTGACTTCTAATCCGAGACATATGATGTTGTAACAAATAGATAATTTGAAAATTTACCAAAAGTAAAACTAATATTCCAAGAAGAATAATAATGAGAAGAGGATGAATAAAAACTAGATATTTCTTTTCGGTCATTACAGGTACTGATACAGGTTGTATGGTGGTAGTATTAATGTTCTCCTGAAACTCCGTATAATATATTGAGTCAGTATATTCTTTGAGAATAGTATCTTCGTAGATTGATGGACACCAAAGATATTCCGGATTTGTAGCATTTATTGGAAGAAGAAAACATTTCGTTTCTGGAGTGTCAGTCATTCTAACTGAAATTATTGGTAAATCGAACTGATCGAGGAATTTCAATCTGAAAACTAAAAGAAATTAATATCCAAGTCTAAGTATGTATGGGTATCATTCTTCAAAAAACAAGAATAAGTTAGTAAAAACTAATAATCTATGTTCTAATAATAATTAGATAAACTAAAAATGGATAGTATATTAAGAACTAATTGCGAGAAATTTTAACAAACACAAAGTTTTTTTTATAATTGAAATTGAAGTGATCGTAGCCAATTATAAGATCAAGGTATCGACGCACTCTTTTGGTTAAGACCCGTGACCTAGAAATAGGACCAAATGAAATCGATATAAATTGGCTACACATACGTTTTGTCAAGTTTTGTTTTTCAGTGACCATAACTTTACCTGTCTTGTGTTATCAATAGCATCAAATACACCGAATTTCATAAGATACTGTTGAACAGGTGAATAGGTTCGTTTTTGTCGCGACAAATTCTTATATAATTCATAATAGAGACCATATGCAATGAATAAGACCCAAAAGATGAGAACGGTAAATCCCACTGCTAGAATGCAAATCTCTAGATGATTCTTTTCTATCATAAATATCGTTTGAGTAGTTGAGGAATTGAATTGGTTTCGAGCAGTTTGATTACGAAAATCGACAAGCGTTTGTGACGTGTCTACAATTGGTTGCAATGAAACGGTAAATCCTTGATCATCCGTTGTATTCATGTTTATTTAAAAAATTTTCAGACTTTTACTCTTACTGAGGCAATAAAATAAAATAGCGAAACGATGATGTAGTCTAGAATGAAACAGAAAAGAAAGCAATAACTATAAGGCAAAAGTAGGAAATGAAGAGTTTTTATAATTAATCTATATATGCTACGACAATTATTTGAACTAAACAGCAAAAAGCAAAACTACAATCTAATTCATCAAGAAGAGAAAAAGAAAACAGTCATTAAAAATTCGAGACCATTGATGAGTTGTTGTCTTTAAACCAAATCTTCCTAAAAACAAAACATTGTTTGAATTATAATTATAAGATGGTTAATTTCTGACTTTGAACTCATGTCGTTTTTGTTGTTGTACAGGTTCCTTTTGAAGTGTTTCATTTTGGATAGTGCCAGGTTTACTATGGTCAGTTTTCTTGGCCTTGGTACAGATTGTTGAACAAATGGAAAGAATAGCTAACATCATTATCAGAATAGTATAGATAAAGACGATCATCAGAAGAAAACCATTGTTATTAACCATAAACATTGGTTTTAGTGAGGTATTATTACTAGCCGTACCATTAGAAATATTTTCTGTAAGTGTATAATTCATGTTAGAAAAATTATCTGTTGAACACAAGGAGAACAATAGACTACTATTGCTGCATCTTGGAGATAGAGAAAATGCACAATTCCATATATTGTAAAACATTTCCATTAGTGTATTGTGCTGTTGTCTGAGGATCGTAGAATACGATTAATCTAGTGATCTGAAACATAAATTATATATATATTTCATGTACAAGTTTTTTAGTCTTCAACTGCTATTTATTCTAAATGGCTTAAACTATAAACAAATCGATAGAAAGGTATTAGATCAAGAAGTTTTTCAACGTGAATATTGCTTTAGCTGCTTGTCCCACAAAACCAGTAGAGCAAAATATGAGATCAAAGATAATACTTAGTCATCAATATTTGATTGACAGAAAAAGAAAAATCTATATAAATCTTTTCATTTTTGCTAGCCATCAGAATTTCCTCATTATATTTCTAGAAAACTGAGTGATCCAACTATAAGCAAAGTCATCTGTGTTTATCTTTTTTACGTTATACTTTTTGTTTCCGTCATCTAATATATATAAATGTCAATAAACTACAATCAAAAGAAAAGACATCTAATTAACTAAACACTACTAAAAGAAGATAATGAATAAAAAAAAACATGATTATTATTTTTAGAATTTAATGCGTAAAGTTACAAAGACAAAAGATACGAAAATGCTAACATAAACAGAAATCTAATGACTAATTCTACGTTTCAGTAATGGATATCTAAGAAAAAATTCAGATTAAAAGTAATAATAATTCAAAGTAATATATGTGTCAGAATTATTTTTCCGTTTTTATAAATGTTGTTGTATCATTGGATGGAAAAAAGCGAGCTACTGATGGATTTAATAAATTTTCACACCAAATTCTACCTTTACTATAAGGTAGACCATATAAAAGATCAGTTGAACCTGTAAATAAATTAAAACAATTTAATTTCGTTTCAGCATGAGTAACAAATAAAATCTCAATCAGATGCCGAAGCATTGTTGAACATTGTAATGGTAGAACAGCAACAATAGTTGCACGATAAAAATCGAGTGTTGAATAGAACTGATAATGTTGTGGATGAAAATTTTCGAAAAATTCACGTTGTGCATCTTGTTGACGTTGGGAAAAAGTATAGCCTGGTGGTGGTTTGGGAATACGAGCAAGATAATTATTTTCAATTTTTATTGAATCTTCTTTCCGAATGACATCTGATATATTTTTGTAAATTGATACACGTTGTTGATTAAAAAAATGAATTGTACGTCGTATATAATTTGGTT